TTCCTTAGGAAGGTTTTCCGTGCATCTCCAACTGAGATCCCGGGGAAGACCCAGGACGCACTATGTCTCTTAGCTGACCTGGGAATGTCTTGAAGTCCTCCCAGAAGAGCTGGAATAGGTGGATGTGGAAATAGATGTCTGCTTCCTGAGAGACCTGACTCCAAAGCAAGTGATGGTTGGATTTTAAAATCTGAACTGACAGACAAGCTAAGGACGCATTTGAGCTAACAGTTGGTCCAAGCTAACAGCCATTCTGAGCTAAGTCAGTTTAACGGGTAATCTGAGTTAGCAAAAAGTTTGAGCTAATTTCTTTAGCACTTAAAAACAACAAAAGTTGACTAAAGTGCTTTGCAATTTAGTCAAATTAAAATGAAAATAATAAGAACGAGAAAATGCATCCTGTGTCACTAAAGAAACAGAAAGTTAATATCATACAACAAAAACAAGTAAAATCAGCTCATGTCAAGGAAAAAAGAAGAGTCTTGAGCAAATATTTAAAAGTCTCAGCAGTCTTTCACTGATAAGGTAAACCAGTTTTGGAGCAGCAACTGCAAAAGCCCGATCACCTCTGGATTAGACTGGAGTGCTCATGGAGTCTAGCTGTTAAAAAGATCACAAATATTACGAGGCCAGACCTTTTGAAACTTTAAAAACAAGCAATAAAATCCTAAAATCAATTTGGAAGTAGACAGGAAGCCAGTGGAGAGAAGCGAGGGCGGGGGTGATGTATTCATGTTTTTTAGTTGCTGTTAAAAGTCACTCTGCTGCGTTCTGAACGGTTTGAAAGCAATATAAAGATGATTTATCTAAACCAGGGGTGGCAAGCTCAGTTATACAAAAGGGAGCCAAAAATTACAAAAAATTTAACTTATTTGAAACCAAGGGCCAGTTTCTGTCTATACAAAACCTCAAGTCAGCTACATGACATTCTTCTGGTTGTAGGTTACTCAGCAAGAGTTTCATCTGTCTCATTTGCCATTCACTGTCACTTTTTCTGCGTCAAAATTAAAGATGATGGAAAAATTCAAACTATTTATTTTTTGCCTACAAAGTTGGCCGGCTGTCATGAGAAGTCTGCACTAAATAAATTATGCTCATTTTCTTAAGTAAATTGAGAAGCAATAAAGAAAAATAATTTTAAAATATCATCCTGGGGGCCAGATAAGATGTCAAAGAGGCCCAAATTTGGCCCTCGGGCCTTAAGTTTGACATGTGATCTAAACCAACACACAAAACAAGGTTTGTAAACACACAAAACATTGCAATAGTCCAAACAAGAAGTAATAAAAGTGTGAATCACTTTGTCAAGGTCTTTGAAAGGGAGAAATGACTTCACCTTGGCGATGAGTCTTAGTTGGAACTGGATTTAACAGCACTATCAAAAATTGCCCCTAGATTCCTGACAGTGGAGTGGTTGTATGAAACCAAGGGGCCAAGAGCCTCAAGGGCATTACATTTACCAAAACTGATTACTTTAGTTTTGTTTTCATTTAAATTTGGGACATTGTGTTTCAGCCAGGCTTTAATGTTTTTTATACAGTTCAAGGGTGGTTCCAGTGGAGTGACCTTGTCTAATTTAATGGACAAATACAACTGAATATCATCAGCAAAGAAATGAAAAGGAATGTGGAATTTTCTTAAAAAAAAAAAAAAAAGGACCCCAAAGGCAACATGTAAAGATTAAAAAGCAGTGGACCTAAAATTGACCCTTGAGGGACCCCACAAGTCAGAGGAGCTGCAGACCAAGAACATCCCTCTAAATCAGCTAGTTTAAGCTACAAGATAATCAGAGTTAGCTGCTAGTTTAAGCTAAAAGGTAATCCGAGTTATCAGCTATATTTGAGCTAACAGGTAATCTGAACTAGCAGTTAGTCTTATAGAGTGCTCTGGGTCTCTTACTACTTTTGTTTCTTTGACATTTTTATTTTGCACATTTTTTTGCTAACTCAGTAAGACGAGGCATAATTCAAACAAAACACAATCAGGGTTCAACAAATCAATATTGTTTAAATCAATATTGTTTATAGGTCTGGATCCTCAACCTTTTTTTTTAAAGCATTCTTTAATTTTATATCTATGCATCCTAACCCTAGTCTTAATTTTGTTCTAACTAAATGAATAGAGTAAAATAATACAAATTACCATAAACCAACAGTGGTTAAAGCATGTACAAACAGAGCCATGGATACTTTTTGTACCCAGAAAAGGGTATGAAATAACCAAAGTTGTACAAAATGGTAAAAATAAAATGTGCTTGTTCAAGCTATGACCAAAGTGGATTGCTGTCATTTTTAAGCATTTCATAGTGATTGACAGGAATGTTATTTTATATATTATTAAATATACATTGTATATATTTGTACTGTCATCAAGTTCACATTATATGGTTATTTACATGGAAATCTGTGGTTGTTTACAAGCACGGTAGCACCTAGCTGTAGCACTTCCTGTACAGTTCAAGACACTTCTGGCAGGAATAACAAAATGTTTATTTTAGTATGATATGAATATAACTAACTTGAAGGGATTAAAAACCTTATACCTTCTAAACGTTCACTGGACTCAGATTTAAATATTAATTACGAGAATAAAATTTTATGTTGTGTTGTAAATTAAAGACTAAAACTTCCTCTCGACGGCCTCTACCCATCAGCCGTGAGCCCCTTTGTGTCAGTTCTGTAGTATCACCGAGTCTGCTCTCTTTAGCTACATGATCCAAATCCCTCTACTCTGTTTCCTCAACTGCCCAATAAATCCTCTCACCTGAAACGTACCCACCTAATGCTGATCTCTCCATTTTTAAACACCTAAATAGGCCACGTGTGTAAAGAACAGAGCACATAAGGTGGCTCTGGGTTCATACCCAGTGTTTTACTCATAAACAGAGATATGGGCAGACAGGAAGTAATTCAAAGATTACGTTGAGTTTTCTATGCCGTGCTCCTTCTTGCAACTCCAGATTACCCACATTTGTTTTGTTCTGAGCCGGACTATGATGCAACTCATTGTCATATGTGAAAGTTTTTAAGAATCACAACGGTGTGCAATTGGACAACAAAACTTGATTATAATTAGTCAAGATTTGTACATTTTATTAATTTTGGCTGCATCTTTAAACAAAATATACAGTATGTTTTACAAAAAAAAAAAAAAAGCAGCATATTGTGGCCGTGTGAGCTGAATTTCCCATCATCAGCTCTGCTTCATCCGCTGAACATGCCCTCCCCTCCGTGATGTCCGGCTGTAATCCTCATCAGCCAGTTAACTGCAAAGTGGGATTTCAGGTGCAGAGTAAAGCTCAGCCTGAAGCCCAAACATTTCCATCACACTGCACCTCAGAACAAAAAGAAACAAAACTAAAATGTTCAACACCCTGACAGGACTGAGAGAGTTTTTACGTGTTCTGAATGACTGAAGAAAGGAAGCGTTCCAGTTAATATTTTGCATTCAGGCCTTTACTTTACACCCAGCTGCAGCAAGAACTTAAGGTGAGTGGGTTTTTATTTTACTTGCTATAACATGACGTCTTTGCAAAATCAAAATGTGAACCTTTTTGCTATTTTATGCTCTTTTTTATTAGTTTTACTCTAAATTTCACCCATTTATATATTACAACTACTTAGTATAAGGCATAAAAAAGTGTTAAAATTATTTAATCGTTAAAATAGTAAAAAAATAAATAAAAAACCTTTAACCTTAAGCACTACAGATGGCTTCCTGTTGCTGTGTAAGGAGTCTCAAAAGTACCATAGATTAAGTTTTTTTGTGTGTACTGATGAGAATACGAGTCAAACCAGATCTGTAGATGCTATGTAATTAACAAAGAAGGGAGGTGTTCACATGTCAATCTGAGGCATTACCAGCCAAATGGATTATGTGAGGTCAACCCACAGTGTCACTTTCTGCCAAGTCAGGAATGAAGTGGATTTTATACAACACACGACCTGAAAGACTCGATCCACTGATCCACGCAGGGAGGCTTTTTAAAATGTCCTTTAATTTAAACCTCAACTAAAGTATCTCTGCAGAACATACTACAACTGAGTAACCTTTGGAGTAAATTCAATTCAATATGCACAATGAAGCAACCTCAGCAAACACAAAAATTATGATAACGCAGTTCGTTTTACAGGTGCTGAGCTAAAAGCTGGTGTGGTAGTAGCTGAGAGTCATCATCAGCACATATTCTGAGATAGGTAAAGGTGAAATGGTATCCCACAAACATAATTTTCAACGTTTCATTAATTTCTCAACATAAGATGATTTTAGTTTGAAACTTTGGTGCAAAAGGTGGCGGACGATGTATGTCTTCAAAGAATGTTAGGCTTTTAATAATGATTACTCTATCACAGGGGTGTCCAAAGTGCGATCTGAGGGCCATCGGCAGCGACTACCAACTGTACAACTTGTACAAAAGCTACCCTTTTGGACCTAGGGTGTCCCTTCAGAGCTAAAAGAGTGATTAACCACCTTTTTAGAGACTGTTTTCAGAGAACAGTTACACTTTTATGCTTTTGTTTCTGATAATAGACTAAAAATAACTTTCCAAGCACAATAAAACATAATATGAACACAACAAATCAAATAAATTAAATCCCCTTTAAAAAAAAAAAAATAATAATAACAAGGTTAATGTTTATAAGGCCTTTATTGTTTTGGAGCTACAACAATTTAGAAGTCCTTCTCCCCCAAATTTAATAAAATTTTGTCCTTTCGCCAAAATATTGATGACATTTAGGTTTAAATAAATAAAAAATATATTATTTTTAAAGTTATAATTATTTTAAATTCAAACTTTTGTGGCCTGTGAGTAATTTCATCTTGACAGTTTTGGCCCACATATGAAAAAATTTGGACACCCCCGCTCTATAAGTTCATTAGAATCGGTTGACAAAATTAAAGAGCTCATCATTGGCCATCATAACACAGGTACCAAATGATCTGGAAGTAGTAAAATACCCAAACTCTCCTTGTTTTTTGCTCCAGACAAAGGTGACGTCATGGATATCGGCGGTTTGGAAAATGTTGTGGCAAACTCAGCCTATGTGTCCGCCCGTGGCAGCGTGGACGGATCTGCAGCCACCATGCGTGACAAGAAGATGCGCGCCAGGCTGAAACTGCCACACATCAGAGACTGCGAACACATGAAGGTGACGGTGGACTCGAGCTTCAACAACATGTGTCTCAAACAGCCCATCGGCAAACGCCTCTTTCATCAGTTCCTGCAGAGTCACGCTAGCCTTAAACACGCAGGAGAGCTGTGGACGGGTATCGAAGAATACTCCGTGTGTCCAGAAAACGACAGACTGCAAAAGGCCAGAAAAATAATGAACACATACTATGAGTCTTCATCAAAGAGCTTTTGCAGCTTCCTGGAGGAGAAGGCCATCGTTCGAGTCAAAGAAGACCTGAAGAATGTCCGCGGCGATCTGTTTAAAGAGAGCGAGAAGCAGCTGCTCAAACACCTGGAGAAGGAGGCCTTGGATGGCTTCAAGAACAGCATGTACTTTCTGCGTTACGTCCAGTTCAAGTGGCTGGAGAGCCAGCCCGTTGACGAGGAGTGGTTCATGGAGTTCAGGGTTCTGGGCAAAGGAGGGTTCGGTGAAGTGTTCGCCTGTCAGGCGAAAGCTACAGGAAAAATGTACGCCAACAAGAAGCTGGAGAAGAAGAGGCTGAAGAAGCGCAAAGGTTACCAGGTGAAGCCATTGGTGCATCCGTTCAAGTTAATTATTATTACTAAAAAAGAAAAAACAAAAGAAGGCTTGAAATAGCTCAGATTATCATCACTGGGGTATCTCACTGGGCTGTGACTTGTTGGAAATTAATTAGCAAATTGTATTTGCAAAGGAAACTAAAAGGTCTCAAAAAGTTTGCAGGGGTTCTCTATTTCCACGCATGAGTCGCAGAGGCTTGCAGTTTTGTCGCTTGACTTTGGAACACCTTCTAAAAACTCGTGCGACCAATCATCTTAAAATAGTCACAAACCAGTTTTAATTTAGTTTCAGTAATTCTGTAGGGAGTAGAAAATGACTAGACGATGTCTCAGTCATTGAGGGATAGTGAATGGTGGTAGTTTTGGAGATGAATGTTTCTCTGCATTAGAATTTAACAGGGAACGTAAGTAAACCTGAATGTTTTTGGTGCAAGATATTCAAGTGGGTATGAGATACACTGTGGAGAAGAACAGACATTTTCTTTTCTTGTGTGAGGGGGTGCAGAGTTACGTATCCTGGCACATGGAGGGAGCAAGTTTATCTACAACCAGATGCAATGATGGAGACAGGGGTGGGAATGGGGGGGCAATGATGGCCTTGGCTGATATAGATTAATCTTTGGCCACCCCAATCATTTGAGGAAACTATATTTTTTAAGAGAATCAGCACCTCTAAATTTGAGGCCATGGTCCTCAACCGGAAAAGTGTGGATTGCTCTCTCCAGATCGAGGGTGAGATTCTGCCTCAAGTGGAGGAGTTCAAATATCTCAGGATTTTGTTCACGAGTGAGGGAAGAATGGAGCGTGAGACTGACAGACGGATTGGCGCAGTGTCTGTATTGCGGACTCTGTACTGGTCCGTTGTGGTGAAGAGAGAGCTGAGCTGTAAGGCAAAACTCTCTGTTTACCGGTCAGTCTACGTTCCTACCCTCACCTATGGTCACGAGCTCTGGGTAGTGACTGAAATAATGAGATCGCGGATACAGGTGGTTGAAATGAATTTCCTCCACAGGGTAGCTGGACTCTCCCTTAGAGATAGGGTGAGAAGTTTGGTTATTGGGAGAGACTCAGAGTAGAACCACTGCTCCTCCACATCGAGAGGAGCCAGTTGAGGTGGTTCAGGCATCTGGTAAGGATACCCCCTGGCTGCCTCCCTAGGGAGGTTCTTCAGGCATGTTTGACTGGGAGGAGACCCCGGGGAAGAGCCAGGACACGCTGGAGAGTCTATGTCTCTCGACTGGCCTGGGAACACCTTGGAATCCTCCCAGAAGAGCTGGAAGAGGTGGCTATGGAAAGAGATGTCTGGACCTCCCTGCTCAAGCTGCTGCCCCCACGACCCGACTTCGGAACAAGCGGAAGATAATGGATGGATGGATGGATGGATGGATATATTTTTAAGCAATATAAAACTAGAAAACATGGTTTCTTCAAATGATTGGTGTGGCCGGTTTACTTATGGTGATGGTCTTTGATTTTGACGTGGGAGCCCAGTTTTTGATAGTGACCTTTTTTACACATAGATGGAAGTCAGTCATTTACCTAACTTTTTATTTATTTATTTATTCAAATCATCCAGCTCACAAGATAATCAAACAGAAAGATGGACAGATTAATGGATAGAGGATATTTCCAATTCCCCACTGCCCTCCATAACGTAGGGACAACTGAAACTTCAGGTCCCAACGTCCGAGTCTAAAAATAAAGATGTTAGATAATTATTTAAAAAAAAAAACTGGTCAAAATCTATTTCTTCATTTTAAACATGTTGTTCTGTTGATTAAATCATAAATGTAGGGATGGCTGCTCAGGTGAGCACAAAGTAAAATGTGGGCGGGGCCTAGTGACAAAATAATCTGCACAAACTAGAATACAGTTTTGCAAGTGCACACAAAAACAGATTGTGATTTTCACTATTCGGTTGCTCAAACCACAGCCACAGGGCTCGCGGGTCGCTGTTTTCAGCTTGACAGTGACAGAAAGTTTGTCTACTCTGTCAGAATTTTGACTCTTCTACAAATCTTCCACAGCTGTGACCCCGTGAGATTCTACCTTAACTCATGAATGTTTCATTTTATTTATGTATTTATATGTTGATGTTCAAAAATAAATTGTATTTTTCATTGTTTTTATTCAGAAAAATGCTAAATAATTTTACTCATCTTGGTTGTGACCATATGTATCACTGTACAGACATTTTAAAAACTAAAAATACTAAAATTTAATAATAATAATAATGTCATAGTATGTTTTCATACAATGGCGAAATTAGTCTCTGCATTTAATCCATCCACCACTAGGTGGTGCAGTGGGCAGCTATTGAAGGCTGCCCAGGGGGCATTTTGGAGTTGAGGTGTGCTGCCCAGAGACACCACGAGGTATGCAGAGACCAGGGATCGAACCTGGGACTTTCGGGTCCCAAGCCGGCTGCCCTGTCTCTACACCATCTCGGCCCCCATCATGTGAAATGCTGAGTAATATCATGTAAAAACTTTCATAAAATACCTAACATTAGAGTTTAATGTCTCAAGGAAATCAACAAAAATACAGCACAATCACTTGTCGAAGTTAAACATGGAGAAATTATTTCAAATTTTAATCTGAAGTGAACCGCTGATTAAACTGGACAAACCAGAAGAAAAACTTTTCTAAACTGACACTTACACTGTTCAGCTAATTAATGCTAATATTATTAGCTTTGGGCTGCTTATTCAAACTTGTTAACATAACGTGGAACCTCCCAAGCAGGATTTTCTCAGGAGTTCAGTTCTCTCTCACTACAAACATCTTAAAGGCAGCAAGGATCTCTGTTGGGCTGAAAATGTGTTTCACAGGCTAAACTTAGACCCAATTTGATCTAACATGAAAGTTTTGCACATGTTTAAACCCAGTCGTGGATGCCAATACGTCCACTTTTAGCCAAGAAAGATGCATTTTTTCTTGGTGCCATATTTGGCCCGGGGGCCACCAGTTGACTATACTTGATATGGTGGTTAAGAACAGCCTAATGTGAAGCTGTTGTTAAAAACAGCTTAGAGTCATAATCACAGAAAGAACAAAGTCATAAAAAAGGAATTGTCTGTAACTTTTGTTTGGAAATCAATGAAGCTTTGAGTTGTGTTTAAGTATAAAAAGCTCAATGGACCAACATGTTTATTACAGCTCTCAGATTTAAATTGGTGGCACATTTTTTAATTTATCTATACATAAAAAGCAGAAAAACAATATCTGATTTGCATTCTTTAAATTATCTTTGAGTGTTTCTCCCACACCTTAAGCTCACGCTTTATGTTAAAAATGCAGAAAACATGTTTCTCTTTTTCCTGTTGCCTAAAATCAACTTAAGGCTGAAAAACAAACAAACAAAAATATAAAAACAGATTCTACTCAAACCCGTTCTTATAGAGCAAAGAGACCATGATTTATTCCACCATCACGTTGCTCCTCAGATATCCATAATGTGCAACGTCACAAAAACACAACTCGCACTCAGGTTGACAAAAGTTCAGACCATGAACTGAAACTGGCAACGCGATTACAAAATGTCCAAGAAAAGAGCTCATAAATCTGCCACCTCTCTACGTGAAGGGCTTCTAGTTGCCAGGCCTTTCATGAAAGGTGAGTGAGGAGAAGAAAAGCCTGTTAGGTTGAAGCTGAGGTGAAAGGGGGAGTGCAGTTCAGTGAAAATGATGATGCTGTATGTTTCGGCTGATTTAACGCTGATGTCTGATTTGTTGTGTTCAGGGAGCGATTGTGGAGAAGCGTATCCTCGCTAAAGTGCACAGTCGCTTCATCGTGACGCTGGCGTATGCCTTCCAGACCAAGACGGACCTCTGCCTGGTCATGACCATCATGAACGGAGGAGATCTCAGGTGCTCATCGTAAACTCTCATCATAACGCCCTTAAAGCAAAACCACGTGCAAGATAAGGCTTTTCTTTTTTCATTCTTTACACACAAACATTAAATAAAAGAACTGAAGTTCCCAGAGTTTTAAACTAGCACCATCTTGTGCTGAAACGACAGAGCTGAAGACGTTTTTTTAGAAAATGACAACATCATGTTGAACTTTAAATGATACAATAGTTAAGGCAAAGTAAGGCCCGAGGGCCAAAAGTGGCCCTTGAACCATCTCCATCTGGCCTCCAATATTTTTAGTTGAACAGAAAACATCTTTTAATTGAGTTGATGAAAACAAAAGTTTGATTAATGAAACTTATGGAAGTTTAAATTAAACATCTTAGACGTTAGCCACATGTCGCTCTTCGGTCCCTCTGCAGCAGCTTTCAAGCTTTGACCAAAACTAACAAAACTGAATTTGATTGGTTGTTTTAACAGTTTTTCTGTCATTCCTTCTGCAAATATGTGACTGATATTAGTAACACAAGGAATAAAACATGTTAACTACACCATGCTAGTAGTTTGTTAGCCGACCACTTCCAGCCTCATGGTGTGAACTTTCTTTCAAATCCACTCAAATTATTTTGGAATATCTTTAAGACAATCTAAAAAAGTTAAATCTGGTCCTCTGGACATTCAAAAAAAAAAAACAAAAAAAAAACAAAGCAAATCAACAAAAAAATGTAGAAACGTTTCGTCTCTCATTCGAGAGACTTCCTCAGTCTGAGGAGCTGTATTCAGCTCATTCACACTTTTTTTGAATGTCCAGAGGACCAGATTTAACTTTTTTAGATTTTTCTACCTGGATTATTGAGCATGCATCAGGATATCTTTAAGACAAGTTGCTGAGAAGAAATGTGGCAAGTTAATTTGATAACAATAAAAATAAAAAAGACACAAACAAAAATACATAAAAAAAACTTAACTAAACAACCAAAAAAAAAAAACAGTCAAAGTAAATAAAAGTATTTATTTTAATTGAAATTTTTTATTACTCATCCAACAAACAGCACTAATTTTTATACTCCTTTTAAATTTTTAACTCTCTTTAAAGTTTTTCTTACTTCAAAGTGGAGAACTTTTTTTTCCCACAAATAAAACACATATGTCTGCATTGTTCAGTGTTTTAATTTTGTAAAGCTCATTCATATTAATTATTCTTGCTTGTCTTAAAATGTAAAATAATAATAATACATTTGAACAATTATAAGATAATTTTTGTTTTATAATGTCACCCCTACTGTCTGGAAAAGCCCCCACAAACAAATAACATGGCCCTTGGGCCGCCAGCTGATAATCACAGTTGTAGCAGGTTTTGCTGATCTGGACACTTTTAATTTAATGAGCAAACAGAGATAAATGTCTCTTAATCGTAAAGACTGTAGACCCCCGTCTTAGACAAATCCATAAAAATCATTTGGATAAAGAAAGGCTAAAACTTTATTTTTTAAGTCGTTGTGTTTCCAGAGGTAGACTGAACATTAAATACTCCAATAATAATAATAATAATAATAATAATAATAATAATAGTAATAAATAATTAACCTTGTGGCTCAGATTGAAGCAAAGAAATGTTTCTCCTGTTTTAGAACAGCTCCCATAATGAGATTAAATGTTCAAGAACAGTAAGTTGTTGCTCTAATTGTTCCAACCAGAATGTGCACGGCCTTTCTTAGAATCAGGAAGGGGGCGCAGCTACTCCCTTCCTCTATCTTTGTTGGCTTCTGGAGAAACTCTTTGTAAATTCTTCTTCACTCCTTGTGCTCAGTAGAAAAACTGCCTGACACAGAACCAAGTGTTCACTTTGTACTTCTCTCATTTCTGCAGAAATAAACAAAGACAACTCTTATTTAAAAACTTTGTTTCAGTCTCATTCCAGTCATTGATAAAGACAACGGCCATTATAAAATCTATATATATATATATATATATATATATATATATATATATATATATATATATATATATATATATATTTTATCTTTAATATAAAAAAAATACTTTTACAAGAGATATTTTACTGGAAGGA